GATTACCGGATAATACTTTTATCTGTCACGAAACGCGTTACGCAGCAACACCACGACTCCGAAGGAGGAGTGGTGTTGCTGGTAACGCGTTGAGTGTCAGGTAAAAGTATTAGGTAATCCTGAAACATCGAGTGGTATTCAAAAGGTTATACAACGAACTAAACTTTAATACTTTAAAATTTAAAAAAAATTCTATAATAGAATTTGCTATAAATGCCACCAAGCGCGATAATCTCAAAAGGCTTATCACTTATTAAGCCTTTCGTGTCATATGGAAATAATGTACAGTGAGTTGTATAACCTTTTGAATACCACTCGAAGTTTCAGGATTACCTAATACTTTTACCCGACACTCAACGTGTTACCAGCAACACCACTCCTCCTTCGGAGTCGTGGTGTTGTTGCGTAACGCGTTTGGTGACAGGTAAAAGTATTATCCGGTAATCCTGAAACCTCTTGTGGTATCACACGACAATAAATTCGGTATTCACCTGACAATATTGCTACCTAGACAATACCAACAATATGGTATTTCAGAGACCATTTTTTGACATTGTCAAACTGATATTTTTAATTTGAAGTTTTTATTCATATTTTTGCATTCTAATTATTTTCAAAATCTTACGTGAAATAGTCATGACCAATACCACTCGAGAAAAAATTGTGTAGGCAAACTTGTTCTCAAGGTTTTATTCAAGTTTGTTGCTTTTCTGCAATTTCGCTCGAGACATTTTTAATAAAATCACTCGCCTGGCGGCTTGTGATTTTGTCAAAAATGTCATTCGCGAAATTGCCAAGTATTAAACTTTCATACCTTTCGAAAATTTTGCCGACAAATTTTTTTCTCTTGTGATATTATATATGAAAAAAATTTGCCCTAACTTTTCCAGCGACAAAACTGAACCTAGCTTGACATGACCCGCAAAATTTGTCATTTACGTAGGTATCCATTAAATTATCTTAACCGAATTACACTCAAGCTTTTTTTTTGTCGAAAAGGAAACTTTACTTTATAATTCGAGTTTTGTTGTAGATATTTTGGCAATTTAACTCAAATTGCCAGGCTACAAAATTCTCATTGAAATATCAAGTTTACTTCGACAAAAAAAGGCTCTAGAGTCTAGTGTAATTAATTAAAAGTGACAATTAACTTTCTAATACCAAATAAAATCATGAGAGTGAACCAAGGCCTTTCTGTTATCATTCAACAGTGACTACAATCTAAAACTGGGATACGATTTATTCCATCTTATTGGAATTGCTCTTCATCTACGGAAATTTGTTTGTTGTCACAAGAAATGCCATTACAATTACCACATAGGATTGAACACGGAATATTCGACTTTATACATGCATAATTTGTTACATCCTGACTTGCAGTTGCAATATATCATATTCAGAACAAAATCAGGTGCCACTGCCTTTGACATAGTTTTTGGAACCAACATGTGCTAAGAACTTGACAAGATGTAAGGGTTTTGTATTTACAATATCTCAACTGATCTAAATCATCAATCATCAAACATTTTGTTTTGTTCTGTGATTTTCGCACCTTAAATAATTAAATTATCAAAACCGAATAATTAACAGAATTGAAAATTCATAAGTTGATAGATCGCTATGATACGAAATTACTTCTCATTGTATCTGATAGATTTTTTAATTCTCTTCAATTTTCATGTCTTCATTTTTTTCAAAAAAATGTAGCGTTTTCGAGTTATTCGCGGTTTTTCCCAAACAGTTCTGAAATTCAAGATGGCGGACGACTTTTCTTGGTGACGCAACAGTCGGAGGCATGGGGACTTTTAGTATGTTAACAAGGGGTACTAGGGCTACTTATTTTTGATAGTCGCAGCTTTATAAAAAAAATTGCATTTTCAACATTGTGAATTTCATAACTGCACTGGCCTATATTGGTAAAATCTACAACAGTTTTCCAGAGAATGTCCGTAGGTAGGTATGGTAGGTCCCAGGGCCAAAAAAGTTATAAAGGCATACCTAACAGAGAAAGCATTTTATTCATTAGATGATTTTTTCAACGATCATGATAGATTGAATTTATATTAGATTCCGGTAAATCATTGTCTGAAGAGCTTTAATCTGCTTTAACTTTCATTTGATTTTGTGGTTTGACTTAGCTCCATGAATTGCAAAAATTATCAATAGAGCAGCGCTTATTTGGTTTATCTGTGTTCATTTTGTTATGTATGTCTCTGAACTTTAGATACCTGTGACACAGATTACCTACATACAGATGCGAAAGAGCGGCGAATTCGTGGTTCAAGATTAATTTGATAGACATAGGCTGGCCGCACAAATGCGGAAGCTCAATAATATAATATTATTTCTTTAATTGGTTCACAAACAGCAAAAAAATATTTTTTTCTACCCGCAAAAATATGTAAACACACAGGCTGAAACATGCTCACGCACTCGGCCACGTTAATTGTCCTGATGCGGGCGATCTTTATCTATGCGTGGGGGTGCTGGCAGCCCGGTTTCGTCACAGAATATCGTCGACGGCAAGTATACGTACTTACGCATCTGTATTAGGTGATCTGTGCCTGTGATATGATATGATGTTATTAGTTTTAATTAGTGTATAATAATTATTATAAGACGGTCGAAATTTTTTGATCGTGGCGCCATCTAAGACAAGGATTCAACACTAAACAGCAATTTTTGCTGTAATTAGTGCTGCCATCTAATTTTCTCATAATTATTATAGATATATTTGTAAAAAAAGTAATTTTGAAATAATCTCTTTTTTAACAATGTTCCACGCCTTTTGGGCTACAATGTATCATCTTATATGTTTAAGTGTTATTGGAATAAATAAACGATTATCTATCTATCTATATCTATCTAGATTTTGGAAAACTTTGAAAGGTCATAACTTTTTTTCTATTATAGATAGAAAGCTGAAAACAGCGATTCTTGTTTCAGTAAAGAACTAACAATCCCTGACAATTTTAGCTCATTTGCATTTAGAGTTCTAAATAAAATCGTGTTGAGCAATTTGGGGTGAATTTTCAAATTCTCAATTTTTTTGAGTGCCTTTTTCCATAAATTCCGGCTCCAAATCTCAGAATAATTTAGTGTATGGAGTTTGGGGGTCCCAAAGGATCATTAGGACACAAAATCTCGACAAAATTTTCTTTTCAAATTTCATCGTTTTAGTACTGAGATAGCTACCTTATGATTTAGATTTTGGAAAACTTTGAAATGTTATAAATTTTTTTCTATATTATAGATAGAAAGCTGAAATTTTCAGCGATTCTTATTCCAGTAGGGGACTACAATCCCTGAAAATTTCAGCTCATTTGGTCTTATAATTCCAGAAATAAAATTGAGTTAAGCAATATGGGGTGATTTATCAATTTTTCAATTTTTCTGAGTGCCTTTCCTCATGGAATCCAGCTTTAAATCTCAGAATAGTTTAGTGTATGGAGTTTGGGAGATCCCAAAAAACCATTAAGACACAAAATCTCATCAATTTTTTTTTTTTGAAATTTCATCATTGTAGTACTGAGGTAGCTATACCCTATGATTTAGATTTTGAAAAACATTGAAAGGTCATACCTTTTTTTCTATTATAGATAGAAAGCTGACATTTTTAGCGATTCTTGTTCCAGTAAGGGACTACAATCCCTGAAAATTACAGCTCATTAGGACTTATAGTTCCAGAAATAAAATTGAGTTAAGCAATATGGGATGATTTATTAATTTTTCAATTTTCCTCATAAGCAATTTGGTGTGATTTATCAATTTTTCTGAGTGCCATTTTTCATAGAATATGGCTCCAAATCTCAGAATCATTTAGTGTATAGAGTTTGGGAGTTCTCAAAGGACCATTGAGATACAAAATCTCAACAGAAAAAAATTCAAAATGAGTTTTTTTTTTTCGAAGATTTTCAATATAGGGTTCCACATTCATTTTTTGACAGGTGATTAATACATAGGTATATTAGAAAACCAAAGAGTAATGATGTTATTCATAGTGCACTTTTTAGTTATATCAAACCTACCAAAACCAAATTTATACACTAAATTCCGTCTCTTCTGATTGGCCCATTTGAAAACATCCAATATTCATAAATATGACGTATCATTATGATTATTAAAAATCCTTTTAATTTCATGTAATTACAGTAAGTAAAATCTCAACTGAAAGATAAGCCTTTATCATCCATCCAGCATGACTTTCAGATTTTACTCACTTATGGTTCTATAGAGGGTCAATCATTTTTATTTTATTCTCTGATAAGAAGTTCTGAAAAAATAAAAGCAAAATTTTGTTGGTAAGTACCTATATTACGTCATTTGCATTACGCACTTGTCAAAAGATAATAATAATAATTCGTTTAGAATGCGAATTAATTAAATTAAGGCCTTGGTAATTTAGTAATTTGCATTGGAGGAATAAAAATAAATTGCAAATTGGTCTAATAAAAAGTTACAAGACAACAGAGTAGGGATTTATTTGCAGAGAAATTTGAATAACTGGTTTATTTTCACCTAAAAAGTAAAAACTCTACCTAATGATTATTCAAGAACAATGTTTCAATATTTGTTCCAACATAAAATCCAAAATATGTAATTTGGAAAATCATTAATTGAAAGTATTTGTCAAATGTAAAGTAGGATAACATCAAAGAAAGGGAACACTATAAGGAATTTGGAGTAATTTGGAACAAATCCTTGAGAAGTGTATGAGTAAACTGATTCAATATTTGAAAATTCAAAGTCATCTTGGCCGGTATCATCATGAAATTCCAATCAACAACAAATTCTTCAAAAAAATAAAAATCCAAGTCATCGTTCGAATAATCAAATCAAAATTGCACAATAATTGATAGACAAAACTGCACATCTTTAATGTGGCTTTCATCACAAAGTTACTTTTCTTGTAGTACCTGTCTGATTATCGATAAAATTATACTTGATGGTACCCATCACGCGATATAAAACCGATCTTTTGTATATGCGTTTTTGATGTAGCGATTTTCGCGGTCACAACACTTATGATGGATTTCAGTCTATGTCTGGCTGCCATCGCGAATGGAGGCCTGAACAAGAACTTGACCGATTTGTATTATTTTTGTTGATGTAACTTAAGTGTTTTTTAGTGTGGTTTTTTAAGAGGTAAGTTGAACAAATTCCAAGGTTTTTTAGAGGAAAATTGTATAATTTGTGATTAGTTTCTATTGGTTTTTGCAACGAAAAGGCAGTTTAAGTACTCAATAGCTGATTACAAATAGGAAAAATAAATTGTTGCTAATCACAAAAAAAAAAAAAACTATTGCTATTTTTATATAGTCCAATAATACTAGACAATCTCATTACATTAATTGATAACCAGTTTGCACAATAAATAAATAATACTTTTGTTTAGTATGTATAGGAATTTTTCATTTATAGATTCTTTGGGCATTGACACCATTTGAAACTTAAAACGATTTCAGCTTTATAAACCAATAAGGCTTATATTACAATGATTTCGTTACAAAAATAACAGAAAAGCAGTGACTTGTGTGAGTCATGAAAATTAAAACTAAAATAATAATATTTTGCTTATGATTATCATTGGGTTTTAGTTGATATAAACATTGAAAATACATTTTGCTTGGTCATGAACTTGATAAATAATATATCGTACAGGGTTTTTCTAGTCATGTAAAAACAAAACAGTACAAACCAACCAAAATGTAAATGAGTTATCTAGTTATTCGAAATGCCAATGAACGTATATTGTGTTATTTATCATATATATTGCATTGAAAATAGAATATTATGACGTCATAAAGGGTTTCTCAAAGGAAGCAATAGACAAGTGTTTATTTACAGATACCAAGAAAAATCAAAAACCTAAGTAAATTCTAAATCCTTTAATTTTTGGATAGGTTTATTGACAATAATATAATACTCGATACTTTCAATGATGGATTATTAATAATAAATTCCAGTTAATACCTACAATAAACCACAATTCTAAATCCCTAGGTGACATTCAACATAAACGAGATTTTTCCCTCATTGCATTATTATAAAAATTTGTTTTTTTTTTTCTAATAGACGACATCCTTGAAAACCGGATACCATTTGCCAAATTATGGATACTCAAAAAATTAATTTAAATAATAATCAGTATATTAATTATTATCTACATTTAAAAATTTGATAAAATCCACTTGAAACTTGAACATTTATAAAATAGGAAATCAAATTTATTGATTATTGTTTAAACAACTGTGCTATTGTTATTATTATTTAAATAATTCAAGTTCACTATATTATTATACCCATAGTAACCCTGACCATGACATACATAGTTTATAAATAAGTTAATTATTCTCTGCTTTCTTCCAGAAATTAATTATGTATTGTCAAGCAACTAGTCTTTTAGTATTAATTTTAGGTAAGTATTTATAATAAAAATAATCAAATTTTAACCTAATCAAGTTTTTTTGTTTTATAGTTAAGGCCTCTATCTGTGATAATATTTTGAGTGTAGATCAACATGATGTTACATTAAAATTACACGAATCCAAGACTGTGTATATAATAGTACCGTAAGTCATTGATGAATTATCGAAAAATTTCAAGCTACTAACATCTTATTTTTAGTAATAACTTCACAACAATAAATCAAGGAAGTTTGAATTTACTCATTCAGCACTCAGACATAGCCTCAATAAATCTAACTAATATTGAATTGAGTTCCTTATTTCCGGGCGAAAATGTTCCAATCAGTATTCAAGCGAATGGGGCTGGAAAAACTGATGTTTATTCAAATTCTACTCAAAATCTTGCCAAGTAAGTGTCTAAGTTTAAATTATTGAAACATAGGAATTTCAGTTTCAATCATTCAATATAATGCTGCTTTTAGTCATTTAGTGTCTATTCCAGGAACTTCATTTGATCGCACATCTTTGTATTTTTCTTCTTTAGTATTGATTATCTTGGGTTGTGTAACTGTATAGATTTTTGTAGAAATATTGTTATTATTTTATTTCAGTCAAATGTATTATGATCTCTTAGTTTTTTTTCTTATGTTTCTAATTATTTCCATGCTAAGTTCCTTATAGTCAGGGTTAGGAAACAATTTCTACTCTTTGATTTTTGAATGGACTTTAATGGATATTTCCAAGCGCTCTTGATGCTTCTAATGTCTGAACATGTTTTGGAGAGTATTGATAGTTTTATGAAATTTTTAAGTTACTGTCATTTTCAAGATTTACTGAAAGTTCCCCACATCATGATTTGTAAAATGTTCTGAAGCGTTCCAAAATACTAAATTTAGTTTAGGGCATCAAATTAACTTTTCTTCAAAGAGGAAACCAATTCATAATTCCTGAAAGTTTCAAGTCACTGTGATCATTAAAAATACTTTCACAAGTGATTTTTGCAGATTTCAATCATTTTTGCATGCATTAACGTAAGATAAAGCTTCCAAAGTTAGTTTGGAGTTTCAAATTAACTTATCCACAAAAAGGAAACTTTAATTCATAAATCCTGGATGTTTCAAGTCACTGTGATGATTAGAAGTAATTTTTGCAGATTTTAATAATTTTTATATGTATTAACCTAAGGAAAAGCTTTCAAATTGAATTTGAAGCTTCAAATTAACTTCAAATTAACTTGTCGACAAAGAGGAAACTTCAATTCATAAATCCTGGAAGTTTCAACTCACTGTGATAATTAGAAGTACTTTGCACAAGTGATTTTTACAGATTTTAATCATTTTCACATGCATTAATGTGAGAAAATGCTTCTTAATTTAATTTGAAGCTTCAAATTGACTTGTCCACAATGAGGAAACTTGAATTCATAAATCCTGGAAGTTTCGAGTCACTGTGATGATTAGAAGTACTTTGCACAAGTGATTTTTGCAGATTTTAATAATTTTTGCAAGCATTAACGTAAGAAAAATCTTCCAAATTTAGTTTAAAGCTTCAAATCAACTTCAAAGTAACTTTCCCACAAAAAGGAAACTTCAATTCATTAATGCTGAAAGTTTCAAGTCACTGTGATCATTAGAAATACTTTGCACAAGTGATTTTTGCATATTTCAATCATTTTTGCATGCATTAATGTAAGAAAAAGCTTCCAAATTTAGTTTGAAGCTTCAAATCAACTTCAAATTAACTTTTCCACAAAAAGGAAACTTCAATTCTTAAATCCTGAAAGTTTCAAGTCACTGTGATGACTAGAAGTACTTTGCAGAAGTGATTTTTACAGATTTTAATCATTTTCACATGCATTAATGTAAGCAAAAACTTTCAAATTTAGTATGAAGCTTCAAATCGACTTCAAAGTAACTTTCCCACAAAAAGGAAACTTCAATTCATAAATGCTGAAAGTTTCAAGTCACTGTGATCATTAGAAGTACTTTGCACAAGTGATTTTTGCATATTTTAATCATTTTTGCATGCATTAATGTAAGAAAAAGCTTCCAAATTTAGTTTGAAGCTTCAAATCAACTTCAAATTAACTTTTCCACAAAAAGAAAACTTCAATTAATAAATCCTGAAAGTTTCAAGTCACTGTGATGACTAGAAGTACTTTGCAGAAGTGATTTTTACAGATTTTAATCATTTTCACATGCATTAATGTAAGCAAAAACTTTCAAATTTAGTATGAAGCTTCAAATCGACTTCAAAGTAACTTTCCCACAAAAAGGAAACTTCAATTCATAAATGCTGAAAGTTTCAAGTCACTGTGATCATTAGAAGTACTTTGCACAAGTGATTTTTGCATATTTTAATCATTTTCACATGCATTAATGTAAGAAAAAGCTTCCAAATTTAGTTTGAAGCTTCAAATCAACTTCAAATTAACTTGTCCACAAAGAGGAAACTTCAATTCATAAATCCTGAAAGTTTCAAGTCACTGTGATGACTAGAAGTACTTTGCAGAAGCGATTTTTACAGATTTTAATCATTTTCACATGCATTAATGTGAGCAAAAACTTTCAAATTTAGTATGAAGCTTCAAATCGACTTCAAAGTAACTTTCCCACAAAAAGGAAACTTCAATTCATAAATGCTGAAAGTTTCAAGTCACTGTGATCATTAGAAGTACTTTGCACAAGTGATTTTTGCATATTTTAATCATTTTCACATGCATCAATGTAAGAAAAAGCTTCCAAATTTAGTTTGAAGCTTCAAATCAACTTCAAATTAACTTGTTCACAAAGAGGAAACTTCAATTCATAAATCCTGAAAGTTTCAAGTCACTGTGATGACTAGAAGTACTTTGCAGAAGTGATTTTTACAGATTTTAATCATTTTCACATGCATTAATGTAAGCAAAAACTTTCAAATTTAGTATGAAGCTTCAAATCAACTTCAAAGTAACTTTCCCACAAAAAGGAAACTTCAATTCATTAATGCTGAAAGTTTCAAGTCACTGTGATCATTAGAAGTACTTTGCACAAGTGATTTTTGCATATTTCAATCATTTTTGCATGCATTAATGTAAGAAAAAGCTTCCAAATTTAGTTTGAAGCTTCAAATCAACTTGTCCACAAAGAGGAAATTTCAGTTCATAAATCCTGAAAGTTTCAAGTACCTGTGATGACTAGAAGTACTTTGCAGAAATGATTTTTACAGATTTTAATAATTTTCACATGCATTAATGTAAGCAAAAACTTTCAAATTTAGTATGAAGCTTCAAATCAACTTCAAAGTAACTTTCCTACAAAAAGGAAATTTCAATTCATTAATGCTGAAAGTTTCAAGTCACTGTGATCATTAGAAGTACTTTGCACAAGTGATTTTTGCATATTTTAATCATTTTCACATGCATTTATGTAAGGAAAAGCTTCCAAATTTAGTTTGAAGCTTCAAATCAACTTCAAATTAACTTGTCCACAAAGAAGAAACTTCAATTCATAAATCCTGAAAGTTTCAAGTCACTGTGATGACTAGAAGTACTTTGCAGAAGTGATTTTTACAGATTTTAATCATTTTCACATGCATTAAAGTAAGCAAAAAATTTCAAATTTAGTATCAAATCGACTTCAAAGTAACTTTCCCACAAAAAGGAAACTTCAGTTCATAAATGCTGAAAGTTTCAAGTCACTGTGATCATTAGAAGTACTTTGCACAAGTGATTTTTGCATATTTCAATCATTTTTGCATGCATTAATGTAAGAAAAAGCTTCCAAATTTAGTTTGAAGCTTCAAATCAACTTCAAATTAACTTGTCCACAAAGAGGAAACTTCAATTCATAAATCCTGAAAGTTTCAAGTCACTGTGATGACTAGAAGTACTTTGCAGAAGCGATTTTTACAGATTTTAATCATTTTCACATGCATTAATGTGAGCAAAAACTTTCAAATTTAGTATGAAGCTTCAAATCGACTTCAAAGTAACTTTCCCACAAAAAGGAAACTTCAATTCATAAATGCTGAAAGTTTCAAGTCACTGTGATCATTAGAAGTACTTTGCACAAGTGATTTTTGCATATTTTAATCATTTTCACATGCATTAATGTAAGAAAAAGCTTCCAAATTTAGTTTGAAGCTTCAAATCAACTTCAAATTAACTTGTCCACAAAGAGGAAACTTCAATTCATAAATCCTGAAAGTTTCAAGTCACTGTGATGACTAGAAGTACTTTGCAGAAGCGATTTTTACAGATTTTAATCATTTTCACATGCATTAATGTAAGCAAAAACTTTCAAATTTAGTATGAAGCTTCAAATCGACTTCAAAGTAACTTTCCCACAAAAAGGAAACTTCAATTCATAAATGCTGAAAGTTTCAAGTCACTGTGATCATTAGAAGTACTTTGCACAAGTGATTTTTGCATATTTCAATCATTTTTGCATGCATTAATGTAAGAAAAAGCTTCCAAATTTAGTTTGAAGCTTCAAATCAACTTGTCCACAAAGAGGAAATTTCAGTTCATAAATCCTGAAAGTTTCAAGTACCTGTGATGACTAGAAGTACTTTGCAGAAATGATTTTTACAGATTTTAATAATTTTCACATGCATTAATGTAAGCAAAAACTTTCAAATTTAGTATGAAGCTTCAAATCAACTTCAAAGTAACTTTCCTACAAAAAGGAAATTTCAATTCATTAATGCTGAAAGTTTCAAGTCACTGTGATCATTAGAAGTACTTTGCACAAGTGATTTTTGCATATTTTAATCATTTTCACATGCATTTATGTAAGGAAAAGCTTCCAAATTTAGTTTGAAGCTTCAAATCAACTTCAAATTAACTTGTCCACAAAGAGGAAACTTCAATTCATAAATCCTGAAAGTTTCAAGTCACTGTGATGACTAGAAGTACTTTGCAGAAGTGATTTTTACAGATTTTAATCATTTTCACATGCATTAAAGTAAGCAAAAACTTTCAAATTTAGTATCAAATCGACTTCAAAGTAACTTTCCCACAAAAAGGAAACTTCAGTTCATAAATGCTGAAAGTTTCAAGTCACTGTGATCATTAGAAGTACTTTGCACAAGTGATTTTTGCATATTTCAATCATTTTTGCATGCATTAATATAAGAAAAAGCTTCCAAATTTAGTTTGAAGCTTCAAATCAACTTCAAATTAACTTTTCCACAAAAAGGAAACTTCAATTCATAAATCCTGAAAGTTTCAAGTCACTGTGATGACTAGAAGTACTTTGCAGAAGTGATTTTTACAGATTTTAATAATTTCATAAATGCTGAAAGTTTCAAGTCACTGTGATCATTAAAGTACTTTGCACAAGTGATTTTTGCATATTTCAATCATTTTTGCATGCATTAATGTAAGCAAAAACTTTCAAATTTAGTTTGAAGCTTCAAATCAACTTCAAATCAACTTTTCCGCAAAGAGGAAACTTCAATTCATAAATCCTGAAAGTTTCAAGTCATGGGATTCAGAGAAACTTTGAGTACCTGTACTAAACCATACAGAGAATTGATTTTGAAGTAAATCATAAACCATATAAATACCTAAGGAAAATTCAAGAGACAAGAATGGAAAAATAAAGACAATTCAAGATGAAAATCAATCAATCAAAACTCATAAGAACAAGATTCTCCCAAAATTTCAGAATTCTATCTATGATACCATTGTACATAAAAAATTATAATCGTATCGTATCGTATTTTGTCATGTTTGGAATGTTTTCAGTTTTCATAAAATCTTTATAAATCTTAAGCATGTGTAGTCTCATCTTTTCCTATTTATTCTTCATCTGCTATGGGTATTTTGATTTTGGAATCAAAAAAAGCTGAAGTCGCATATGATGATGCGATATCGATGTACATGGACAGGAACAAGAGTATGATGAATATGTTGAAAAAAGACTACAGAAGAATGGAAGAGATTTGGGAAAAGATGAACAAGAACAGACACCAAGAATCAGAAAGTGGAATAGGTTGGACATGGTGAGACAGATTTGCAGATTTTGAGTTTATTTGATTTATTAGATTATTACTATTTCCATTGAAATTAATTTTCAAATTTGCCTTCATAGCAGATATTTTCATGGTACATGGTGTGAAAATTTGACAGAAGATAATGACTTGAAACTTGTTTTCTATTGGTTAGTCCTTTGAGCACCTTTGATGATTTAAAATTATTCTGTTGAGGAGTAAAAAAAATATGGAAACCAAATAAAAAACGTCGATAAAATTGGGGCAAAAATGCGAAAATCTCAAATGAATGAGAAAATATACTTACTAATAAGACTTACATGCAAATATCAGAAAACTCAATAGGAATTATCTATCATCATACAATAATTTCATTTCTGAAGATTTAATTCTTACGAATTCAATTTTGTGAAGTAGGCAGGCACACTTGAAGCACAAAAGTTGAATTCTACGTAATTGTTTAGCGCTTCGTTAGTGTGCTTCAATCCCCAAATTAGCAACCCTTGTATTTTTGATGATATTTCGGTTTTTTGAAATGGAAATTTTAACTTGGATCTAAACCTAAACTTTAAAGTATCTCAAGTTTTCTGAAAGTTTGGAAGTGTTCTGGTCTGTTCTAGAATATTACTTAAATCCTAATTTGATTCCAAAGTAGCGTTTTACAATGTTCCTGCAAGTTTTAATTCGCCTCAAATAAATGCACAAGGACTGAAAATTTTATGACTGTTTCTATTGATGATTTCCTTGCTAAGTTTCTCATAATCCTGGATAAATTAATTTGTCAGTGTCAATACTGAACCAATTTTATTCTGATACAAAGAAATTTAGTATACATATCTCTAACATATCAAAAAAAGTAAGAGGAAAAACTGCAAGAACTGGATTATAAGTGACACTGTATAAAAACCTGATAAGCTGAATATTAATATGCAAATAAACATTAGGAATACCTGAAAAAATGCTTAAAAAAAGGAGAAGAAGAATCTTTGGGTAAGAAGGGAAAATTCACAAGAAATCAGTGTCATAATATTGGAATCAAAAATTGAAAAACACATTGAAGAAAAATATGAATAATATCTAAGATCGAAATAAGACATACATACAAGGATGCACAATAAGAAAAAAAAATAATACAAAAGAAAAATCAGAAATGTAAGAAAATCAACCCCATCTCAGGTGAATGGAAATTGTAAAACTGTCAGGCCAATCAGAGAAAAAAACCTCAATCAGCCTAAACTAGAAACAAATTTAAAGAAGATCGAAAATCCCTAGTAACTTTTTAATAATGCAATCTGTAATTAAATGTAGATACACTAAAAATATGCCAGAAGTGTAAAAATTTGAACCAGGATAATGGTTTCCACATCCCAATCATCCATCAAAATATCAAGCAATTATCCCTGAAATGCTAATTAGATTTTTTTTTTTAGTACAGAAGATGTATACTTCAGAGTCACTGTGTATAAAGCTAAAGGTTTAGGTACTTTATCCACTATAATCGGTTGGATATATTTCGTGGCCTGGTCTGTATCATTTTATCCTCAGGCCTATATAAATTGGAAGAGAAAAAGGTATAGAAAAATATTCTGGTTTTAATTTTTTTATTTAATAATAATATATATTTTTTAGTGTTATAGGCCTCAATTTCGACTTCCTATCCCTGAACATTCTAGGATTCATTCTCTATTCAGTATTCAACTTAGGATTATATTTTATACCTGAAATTAGGGTAAGTATATATTTAAAACTACTATGTTCAATTATCAAGTGAAATGTTTTTATTTGTTGAATTTATTAACAAGTTTCAGTCAATAACCCATCACCTGGGGTTATGTAAAGAAAAAGCTGTCAAGTAAACAAGGAAATAATTAGTTATGTATTTGTTTTAGGCTGAATATTCAGCAAGATATCCACGTGGCCTTAACCCAGTGCAAGTAAATGACATATTTTTTGCAGTGCACGCTGTAATTTTGACCGGCTTTACAATAATCCAATGTTTTATTTACGATAGAGCAGATCAAAGGGTTTCCATCACTGCTAGAGTGATTTTAAGTAAGTCATGATGCCGTAGAATCAAAAGTTGATGATAATTATACTTTTTTTTTAGGTGTTTTTGGTATATTTATAATAATATCAGCATTTATAGCTTATTTTAATGTTATCCATTGGTTGGACTTTCTTTATTATTGCTCATATGTCAAACTAACAATAACTTTGATTAAATATATTCCACAGGTAACTATTTGAATTTTAAAAAAATATATTAATTAAATAATTAATTTTTTTTTTAAGGCCTTTATGAATTATAGAAGGAAAAGTACTTCAGGATGGAGCATAGGCAATATTTTGCTCGATTTTACTGGAGGCACTTTAAGCATGCTGCAAATGATCTTGAATGCTTATAATTATGGTAAATCATTGCAAAAATATAGAAAAATTACTAAAATTGTTTTTTTTTTTTTTTTTAGATGATTGGGTTTCAATCTTCGGCGATCCAACCAAATTTGGCCTGGGGCTGTTCTCAGTGGCATTTGACATTTTCTTTATGTTTCAACATTATTTATTTTATAGACATAGCAGATATGAAGATAAATAATGATGTTTGTGATAATATACAAAAGCAATATTTTGGAGACAAAAAAATTAAATAAATGATTAGATGACCAATTTGCTTTTATTACAGATACCTATGATAAACAACAAATTACATACTATTGTCCATTCTCACTTAATTTGTAATTTATTCTATTTCTCTGTAGTTTTTCAGATTGTAATGTAGATATTTTATTTATTGACATGTATTATCTTAGTTTACACACTCTCTTACACACACTAAATACTTTTAATGAAAGTTGCTTACTTGGTCAAATAAACACATAACATAGGCCTTAAAATTAATATCTTCCGCTTCTGTTTGGTCTACGTGAAGGCGATCTGCTGCCTCTGCCCCTAGAGCGAGACCGCGCCGCCCTTTTAGGAGACCTAGAGCGAGAACGACGCGGAGGGGCTCCGCCCCCAATGCTTGTGCCAGCTCTGCCTCCCTTCCTACGTGAATATAAATACCTAAAAGAACACAAAATAATTATTTATCAAATAGTTTATATTGAGAGTGGATAATATTACCTTCTCAATTCTCTTGAGATTGGTTTCAAGTGCATGAAATTGCAAAAGCCCGATCTGGTACACTCTCCCATTTCGTACTGGCGACAGCAAGCTTCTCTAAAGTCGGTCACTGGGCTTAGTTCAGCGTAAACTGGACGGCCACCGAACCAGCGATTGTTGAGGTCGTTTACTGCTCTTTCAGCGTCTTCTTCTTTGCGAAACTAGAGTATGAATAGAAATGGATCTTTGAGATTCAAAAATCATAGACTAGAAGTGCTAAATATTTAATTTAGAGCTAGAGGCTAGAATTTGCGAGAAATATTATCAGGAAAAGAGAGAATTTGTTGAAAATTTAACAAAAGTTGGTATTCAATAGGTAGTGATTTATCCTGACTTCAGAACTTGATATTCTGGAAATTCAATAAGAGGCAGAAATATAAAAGAAATCCGATCAGAGATCAGAATTTACCAAAAATGGATTAGACTCTGGAATACTAGACCACAAATCTAAAATTCATAAACCAGAGACTCAATTTGCTGTATCTTCTGAATTTTTCATATTATCATCAATCATCAATAATTATTTTTGTTTCAGTTCAAATTTTCATTGTCTTAATTAATGTTGGAACATCAGAGATTTGCTCGGAGATTTGCAATTTGTTGAAAATTCATTCAAAGACCAAAATTTGCTAGAACTGTGAAAGATTCTGAATCAGAGTCAAAAGCCTAAATTCACCATAAAGTCAATTTTCAAATCAGAGGTATAAAAATATGAAGATTTACAAATCTGAAAGTAGAATTGACTGAAATTTGACAAAAATTCAATCGAAGACCAAAATTTACCAAATAACTACTACAAATATTTTTCAGAAATCTTCAAAAGTTATTTAAGTAACAGGAATTTTATGATTTTCTCAGGTAGGTATCAATGAGTAAAAAAATTCGTAACTTTGGTTGTGACTTTCATATCGACTTGCAACTTGTTTTGCATCATGAAAAAACTCTAATTATTAAATCCTGAAAGTTTCAAGTTGCAACGATGGCTGAACGTATTTTTCAGGAACCTTCAAATGTGATTTTACAGGATTTTTTCAGGTATCAATAAGTAAAAAAAGTCCTGACTTTGGTTTTGAGTTTCATATCAACTCCCAACTTGTTTTGTATCAAGAAAAAACTCTAATTAATAAATCCTGAAAGTTTCAAGTTGCTGTGATGGCTCAAAGTATTTCTCAGGGAACTTCAAAGGTAATTTTACAGGATGTTTTCAGGTATCAATAAGTTGAAAAATTGGTAACCACATTGGTAACTTTGGTTGAGGCTTTCATATCAACTGTCAATTTGTTTTGAATCATGGAAAAACTCTGATTAATAAATTCTCAAAGTTTCAAGTTGCTGTGATGCCTCAACATATTTTTCACGAACCTTCAAAGGTGATTTTACTATTTTACAGAAATTTTATGATTTTTGTCAGGTATAAATAACTAAAAAAATTCATACTTAATTCAATTTCAGTTGTGACCCTCATATCAACTTCCAACTTGTTTTATATCAAGAAAAAACTCTAATTATTAAATCCTGAAAGTTTCAAGTTGCTACGATGGCTGAACGTATACCTTCAAATGTGATTTTACAGGATTTTTTCAGGTATCAATGAGTAAAAAAAGTCCTAACTTTGGTTATGAGTTTCATATCAACTCCCAACTTGTTTTATATCAATAAAAAGCTCTAATTAATAAATCCTGAAATTTTCAAGTTGCTGTGATGGCTCGAAGTATTTTTCAGGAACCTTTAAAGGTGATTTTACAGGATTTTGTTGCGAGATTTTTTTGACTTTTTCAGGTAAGTACTCAGGTAAGTATCAACAAGTAAAAAAAATTGTAACTATGGTTGTGATTTTATATCAACTTCCAGCTTGTTTTGTATAATGAAAAAACTTTAATTAATAAATCCTGAAAGTTACAAATTTGTGTGATGACTCAAAGTACTTTTCAGGAATCTTCAAATGTTACAGAAATTTTATGATTTTTTCAGGTATTACTTAATGAGTAAAAAAAATCGTAACTTTTATATCAACTGCCAACTTGTTTTGGACCATGAAAAAACTCTAATTAATAAATCCTGAAAGTTTCAAGTTGATGTGATGGCTCAAAGGCAAATACTCTTATGTTGTTCTAAAAGATTTTTTTCAAAAATACATGCAGAAATACACGCGTGCCGGTCAAAAAGACCGACCATTGATAAAATCAGTCATTACGCCACAGGTACAAGGGTGACAGTTTTGTCCATCTAGGAATGCCTGATGCAGATTTTCCACTACCCATTAGCCCAAAGATATTTTGGTTTTTGGTTGAAGAAGGGTTCGTTGTTTTCATAGTTGGTGCTTTTGACTAGGAACGTGAACCTGAGTATCTGAAATATTTGTGTTCAAAATTGGCATTTTCTGATATTGGGAGTACTTTTGGCTGTCGATAATACGGTAACTGTACTACATAATATAATTCTCTTTGTAATAATTATTAATTCTAGGAATTATAGTGCTTGTACACTTTTTTCGCGGAGACGGTCCCAAAAGTATTCTGAACGCTAAGGCATGACTATGCAGGTAATATTTGAAACTTGATTTGAAAGTTTCATGTCTCTATTGATTAGTAAACTTGTGTAGGTCATGCCATAGCGTTCAGGATACGTTTGGGATCGTTTCCGCGAAAAAAGCTAGTAATTCATATAAACTTTTGGGCAGTCGGTCGATTTGACCGAACACGTGTAACGACGTAAGTTTTTTGGCACGTGTAATGCAGGGTTAAGGACCAATGTATGGGAAATTCCAGACTCGCAAATCAAAAATCAGGATTGGATTAAAAACTGGATGCCTAGAATTCTGACAGAAATTCAGAAGAGTTTGGAAAAAAATCCTTCATAAGAATTTTCTTAGAAATACAGAGAGAAATAGAATTATCAAAAATTAAATTATTCTCCCCAAAGGATTCCTAGATGTCCACAGTAAGTAGATGTAAATTTTCAAACAGAACTTCAATAGTACCCTACACCTACAGGAATTCAACATGATTATGCAGGACTATACACTATACAGTACTTCAACAGGACCATACATCACTTCAACAGAACCCCCGACAGGATCATACAGCACTTCAACAGGACTATGCAGTACCTCAATGGGACTATGTAGTACATCAACAAGACAATACAGTACTTTAACAAAATTATACAGTACTTCAACAGATTTGTAGGTACAGTACTTCAACAGGACTTAAATAGAGGACCCTTCACCGGACTGGTATTTTGTTAATGAAAAGTTTACCTTGATATAGACGTTTCCAACCAAATGATCTCCAAGATTATCGCACACATTCATCTCTTCAATTTCCCCATATTTGTCTTCGCATTCGACGAAAACATCCTCAAAAAAATTGTCGTAATGCTCCTGCATTTCTTCATCAGACACATTGGCAACCACTGAAATCAATAACCAAGCAATTTTAAATATGGAAATTTAATTATCGTGATTTTAACTTACAATGACTTCCGTCAGCAGATTTAGCAGAGTTTTGCGGATTCACGTACAAATTCTGCAGCAAGCAGGTTTGAGAAAAAGTCGGTTTGTTGTGAATCCTCGAGCATCGATCGCCATGTCGGCATGCCCCGATTTTGAAGTAAAACGAGCAATTTACCCTAAAATCCAGGGAATTTGTGAATGAAGAAATGTTCAAAATGTGCTTTACTTACTTGTCCTTTTCTGTACCGAAAATAGAGGCCAGATATTCAGCCATTTCGGGAAAATCTTAAAAATTCCACCTAGGAACTTTTAAAATATACACACATACAACAAAAAGCAAAATGGAGTAGTGCCTTATTAAAATGACATTTAGTGCTGTCATTTATGGTGGTGCCATCTAACATGTTTAGTAGCAGTTAATAGATTTTTCTATATTTTTGGATTTCATCAAGAATTTTTTGAATTTTAAAGCCATAATATCGAGAAAATTGAATAGGTAAACATAATTCAATGAGATAAAATAACCATAGAAGAAAATAAGGAAGTAGAAAAGTGCTGCTTGTCGAGGGTCGATAATGAAGATTTCTATATTCTTGTCTTTGGTTCAGTTGTTTACTTTTTAATTTTCAGTTTCAGTTTTTTATGGGTAAAAGAAAAAATATTTTATAGAATTTTCCTTATGAATTTTCCTTTGCATAATTAAGTTAATTAAAGTGTTCTTGTAAAAAAAATAAGCCCCAAGTTCTAGAGAAAATAGTGACATGAAGGTGAAGGCGCAATGTGGGAAATTTTTCTTCAGTATTCAGAGTTGGTGACTAGAAAAGTGGAAATCACATGTATGTGATGAAGGTAAGTTTTATTGTTTTACCCTTTGGCTAATGGTACTGTTTTGCTGGAAAACTATTCTTGGATTGGGGTTTTTTTTCTAGAAAAGTTGATTTTTTAAGTTGCGGTTTCTAAGCTTGGAAACTCCCTTTTCGAGAAATTTTCTTCTCGTGAAGAATATTCTCTGATAAGGGTTTTTCCTATTTTTATTCTCTATAAGGTAACTTTCAGAGAAAAAAATAAAGTTCTGCTGAGTGCTACCCTTTAGCAATAATTTGCTCAATTTTTGCTGCAAAGCTGTCTCTTCCGGAGGATTTTAACGTTATTTTGACTTTTTTCCTCCAAAAACTCCCTCTTATGTGAAGTTTTTTTGTTTAATCAGAGGAAAAATGAATTTTGTGCAGGACCGTATATATTCTATATCCTACTCTTGTTAAGAATTTATATGTAAGCTTACCTTCTCATTAGGAGATAGAGCTCTATGTTTTAGATACGATTTTATAATGTGCAACCTGCTAATATTGCAATGACATAAAAATGTGTGTTCTGTCAACTTTGTCAATGTTATTGGTTGCTCTCTTCTATCGTAACCGAATTGTTAATAATAAATACGTTGTTTAAAGTCGTAGAATCTGGGATTTTATTAATATAAAATAACAGGTTATGGGCCCAGCTCACCCAAGAAAGAAATACTAATTTGTGAAAAAGAAGCAAGACTTCAAAAGCAGAAAAATGAATGTGATAACAGTACCTCAGTTAAATGCCGAAAATTTTAACAATTGGAAGTTCAGAGTGGGAGCTTTATTGGAAGAAAAGCAGATAGAAGATACGTTGGAAAAGGTTTTAGACGACTTCACTGGAGATAAAGAAAAATCAGAATTTAAGGTAAAGAGATGCAAAGGCCAAATCAATAATAGTACAATGTATAAGCGACAAACACCTTGATATAATAAAAGACTCCAAAACAACAAAAGAAATGTTAAAGGCATTGGAAGATGTATTTCAAAGACGAAGTGTATTTACTAAACTGACACTTAAAAAACGATTACTGATCTTAAAACATAAACGAAACGAAAAGCTAGAAGACCATTTTCATAAATTTGACACGTTAATAAGAGAACTAGAAAGCATTGGATCCAAGGTAGAGGAAGAAGATAAAGTTTGTCATCTTTTATTAACACTTAATGAAGAATTTGATCCAGTAATTACAGCAATCGAGACAATGAATAGTAAAGTAACAATGGACTTTGTGAAGTCTCGCCTACTCGATGAAGAACTGAAGTTTAAAGCAAAACAAGGACATAGTGTTACCCAGCTAGAACAATCTTTTAAAGCATTTCAATTAACTTGTTTTAAATGTGGTAAAGTTGGACATAAAAAAGCTGATTGTCGGCTGAATTCGAATACAGTTACACGAGGGAATTACAGAGGTCGGAGAAACAGCAGAAGAGGATATTATCAATCAACAGCTTCATCCTGGATTCAGGATGAAGCTGTTTATTGCACATGGTGAGGTTACAGTGCTTAATGCAATGAATGCAATTTCGTCTGCCTTATTTGCTTGGAGCCCTGTTCCGTTACCTGGTTGAAATTGACCATGGCTTTCACCCCTATTGTTTTGATAATTTGACTGATAATATCCTCTTCTGCTGTTTCTCCGACCTCTGTAATTCCCTCGTGTAACTGTATTCGAATTCAGCCGACAATCAGCTTTTTTATGTCCAACTTTACCACATTTAAAACAAGTTAATTGAAATGCTTTAAAAGATTGTTCTAGCTGGGTAACACTATGTCCTTGTTTTGTTTCTAATTTTTCTAAATTGTCGGATTCTTCACTATCGCTTCCACCTGGTTCGATTTCGTCTTCACAAACTTCAATTTCAATATCGTTTTCTCCTTCTTTTATTTCTAATTCATTTTCAATCGGTACTATCATTTCTCTTTTATTATCAATGTTTTCATCCTTTAGAATATTATCATAATTTGTTTCTTTTTTATTAAATCTAACATCTCTGAGCAAAAAGTTAAATTTTCAATATAGTTCCACAACCCGATATCCTACCCCACAATATCCTATCATAATACATAATTTTAAATAGTAAGCTTGATAGACCTCATATTCATCTAAATATTTTGGTTTATTAATTATTCTTTAACAATTTAACTACCAAGAAATGAGAAAAATCATCAATCAATACTTGAAAGTATTTATAACCTTCTGGAGTAGGAGTTACTACAGGACCTGCGATATCAGAATGTATCAATTCACCAATTTTGACGGTTTTCTTTTGACTATTATAAAATGGTTTTCGGGTACTTTTAGCTTCAATACAACTCTTACAAATTTCCTGACTAAACGGTAAACCTAATCTCTTTAAATTAAATCTGTTAATATGACCTAGCCTTCTGTGCCATATGTCTTTACCTAGACTTTATTGTGCTATTAAAAATAAGGAATGGAAAGATGCTGTGGAAAAAAAATTAGATTCACACGCAAAATTAAATACTTGGACAGAATCAAATGTACCAGATGGAAAATCTGCAATACAAACCAAGTGGGTGTTTCGAACAAAAGAGGATGGAACCAAAAAGGCCCGAATTGTGGCAAAGGGATTCCAGATGAAAGAAAAAGATCCATTTAATCCTGTATATTCGCCTGTTGCAAGGTTATCAACAATAAGGCTATTAATATCAATGGCATTACAAAGAGATTTTAAAATAAGACAACTAGACATCCCAACTGCATTTCTAAACGGAAAATTAGAAAGCGAAGTTTATATATATATACACCTTTAGGACTAAAAGTAAAATCACCTACACTAAAATTGAATCGAGCCTTATATGGATTAAGGGAGTCACCAAAAGTATGGAATGATACTTTCAATAATTTTGCAATTGGAAACAATTATAAAAGATCACTGTATGACTGTTGTTTATACTTTAATCAGAAAACTTGGATATTAATTTATGTCGATGACATGTTAGTCGTTGGCAAAGAAAAAGATGTTGAAGAGGCAGTAAAACTCTTGAAGAAAGATTTCCAAGCCAAAGACTTAGGCGAAGTTAAAATTTTTTTAGGAATGAACATTACAAGAACTGAAGAAGTTATAGAAATAGACCAAAGAAAATTTATAGAAAAGTTACTGACAACATTCAAGATGGAAAATTGTCATGGAAAAACAACACCAATGGAGAAAGGATTTCAATACAACACTGAGAGCGAAATAATTAATGTACCTTATAGAGAGTTAATTGAAGGACTAATGTACCTATCAATAACTACCAGACCCGACATTACATTTTCAGTATCATATCTTAAGTCGATTTTTAGATAAACCAACAATGGATACTTGGAATGCAGGGAAAAGAGTTTTGAGATATTTACAGGAAACCAAAATGAAAACTTTAACCTATTATAAAACTGATATTACCGAATTAAAACTCACTGGATATTCAGATGCAGATTGGGCAACTGACAAAATAAACAGGAAAAGTGTAAGTGGATGTATTATATTGTATGGTAAAAATCCAATATATTGGTTCTCGAAGAAACAAAGTTGTGTTGCACTGTCTACTGCAGAAGCAGAGTATGTGGCAGCGGCTACTTGTGCACAGGATTTAGTAAATCTTAAGGGGATTTTGAATGATTTTGATGTTGATAATGAAACGATTTTGTATTGTGACAATAAGAGCATAATAAGAGTTCAATTCTAATGTCAAAAAGTAACGAAAACTCTAAAAGGGCGAAGCATATAGATATAAAAAATCATTACTTGAAAGACTTAGTTGCACGAAAGGAAATAACAATTAACTATGTATCAACTGATCAAAATTTGGCGGATATATTAACAAAATCTTTAACTAAAGATATATTTGTATATCTAAGAAATAAGGTTCACATTGTTTAATGTAGGTACCTAATTCAGTTTAGTTCTTTATTTTATTTTATATAACATTTAAAATCGAGGAGGAGTGTTAAGAATTTATATGTAAGCTTACCTTCTCATTAGGAGATAGAGCTCTATGTTTTAGATACGATTTTATAATGTGCATAACCTGCTAATATTGCAATGACATAAAAATGTGTGTTCTGTCAACTTTGTCAATGTTATTGGTTGCTCTCTTCTATCGTAACCGAATTGTTAATAATAAATACGTTGTTTAAAGTCGTCGAATCTGGGATTTTATTAATATAAAATAACAACTCTAATCTAACTACATAAAGTATTTATCCTTGATACCTACGATTGCCTTATGACTTTAAAAATTCTGCTTTCCGCTTCTACCCTTTGCGAACGAAAATAGAAAATTTCCTCAAAAAGGCAAAAAGGAGATAATTCCGTCAAGCTGGCAACACTGTGGCTGACTCGTTATCAAACGCAAGGATATCAACAAAGCATTTGATAGGTTGGATATAAGCCCCGCCCCTTTCCAATCAGATGCGAGTGA